GAGGCAGGAGACTCGCTTGAGCCCAGGAGTTGGAGGTTGCTGTAAGCGTGATGCCATGGCACTCTACCCAGGGGGACAGCTTGAGGCTCTGTCTCAAAAAAAAGCAATAGCGATAAGCCAACCAGAAAACACCCAGAAGCCCACAGAATGACAGTGTAAAATGACACTCCATTCTAAAGAGAGATACCACAGAGGTAATTTCCAAAAGTTGATGAGAGGGTGGACTAAGTGTAGTATATTATAGTTAACTCTCCTTGGCTAAGGATATGCTACAAATACAAGATTCTTATTGTATAGTGTTAAGAAAAAAACAAAAGATAAGTAAATAAATAGATAAATATATACATACACACATACAAACAAAAACAAACATCCTGACCATGTTAGACATTTAAAAAATCAAGGATAACCATATCAAGATCTATGGAAAAAAGCTTCTGATCCTAGGAGGGTCTTCTACCCAGAAGTCTTGGACTCTTCACCTGTTAAATGTCCCAAAAGTTAAACAGAAATCCAGTTTAACTGGGCTGCTTAACAACACTTCAGTCAAGGATGAACCACAGATCCAATGATGGCCCCGTAAGATTATAAAGGAGCCGAAAAATTCCTGTATCTTAGTGACATCTTAGCTATCTTAACATCACATGCAGCATAGTACATTTTCTATATTTAGATACACAAATACTTACACTGTGTTATAACTGCCTACAGTATTCAGTACAGTAACATGCTGTACAGGTTTGTAGCCTAAGAACAATAGGCTGTAACATATCACCTAATGTGTAGGAGGCTATGCCATCTAGATTTGTGCAAGCGTACTTGTTAAATGTTTGCATGATGACAAAATTGCCTAGCAAGGCATTTCTCAGAATATACCCCCCTTCATAGGTGATGCATACCATCATTTCAATGTAAGGCTCTCTAAGGACAAGGGGAAAGGTCTGAATATTCCTTCATCTCATCGTGGTCTTTAGATCCCCTGATGGATATTGAGAAACAAAACCAAACAAAAGTAAATCCCTAACTATAATTAAACTCTCAAAATGAGAATTTTATATGCTATTATTGGCACAATTATATTCATAATTCTAAGCTACATAGCTATCAATGTGTATATAGCCCATTTCTACATTTTTTCCCAAAGAATATTTACTTTTCATTTCAGATTGGATAGGATAGGAGTAGGGTGGAAGGAAGCACAGTGAGCAGTATTTAGAATCTAAATGAGGAGGGAGAACCCATTTCTGTGTTCTGGACCTACAGAGAATCCCATTAAAGAGAAGTGTACAAATTATTTGCCACTTTTATTTTTGAAAATGCTGACAACCCTCTCAAGGAATATTAAAACAAAACTTTTCTATATTTGCATAAAGCAAACTTGAGCCTTGTTATTTTTAATTGATATGTAATTAAAGTCACGTAATCTATTTGGATGTAGAAATAGTACCTCTCTCCTTGAGAGTCCAGAGTCATATCCAAAAACAGAACATGGATAGGATATTGCAGAGAGTGATGAAATGGTGTCACAAAGTGAGAATTTGCTAATGAATTCTATAAATATTTAAACGATTAATTATATCGAAATCTCTGAAGAGTTTAGATATCATTCCTTCCATTAAAAGATAACCCACAAAAATTCATATACTTATAGATAATTCCTTGCTATCTAAATATAACTGAACATTAGTCAACGACGCTTCTTGTGAAAGATAAAAGAATGAAAAAGCCTAAAGTCAAAACGCCAAATAGTAATTAAAGAATCATTCCAAATATGTCTACATATATTTAAATTTAAAAACATCAAAATTGCACATAGAATGAAATCTCACTCCCAAGGATAATAAAATTATATTGGATGGAATATAGGGGTAGAGATTGAGAGTTCTATATATCTAAGTTCCCTTCCATCTCTAAGATCATATAATTAAGATGCTTTGAACTTACCTAAGTATTTTGGATAAAAATAATCCTAGAAAGAAGAAAAAGAAAAATATATATTTTAGCAAATTTAAGTTTCATTATAAGTGAAGTTAATTTAATAATGTCTTTTTACATTAAAAATGCATAGAAATTACATTGAACTCTTTTGCACATTATAACGTAATTTTTTCTACAGTAAAAATGTACAGAGAGAAGATAATAAAGTTAACCAATAAGAAATAAAGTTAAACCAATAAGATGCTTGAGCTTAAGACAATATTAATCACTTAAATCATGTTTCAAAAGCTTCTGATCTGAAAACAAGTTCTATTTAAGATGTTAAACATCTCCCTTTTTATAAATCCTTTAAATTTTCCCTAATGATTGGGTACTCATTTGACACATTTTATGTCATGGTAACCTCCATCAGATTCAATGTTGAATAATAGTGACATAATTTGAATTTAATTAAAGTGGGCATTTATTATTTAGCACCTTATATACGTGTAACATCTTACTTAAATTGGTTGTATACCAAAAGTTTGTCTGTGAATGAGTAATTTGGACTTCAAAACTAAGTAATTTCATTTCTACCTTACCAAAGGAAGAAAAATGTTAAAAATTTCTGACAGTAATTTCCCAGACGGGTCCACGAACCCATTGGTGTATATCTACTAACATGTAGCATGTATAACACAGCAGCACCTCATAAGAAATCAGAATTCCTACACAAAACATACTTAATTTTACCACTAGTAAGTATAGATCATACCTTCATCTAGTACAGAGCAAAAGTTCTCATTCTTTCATCCTCTCACATATAAACCTACGTTACACTGACTCACTGGCTTATAACGATAAAATCTCCTACCCAGTAATTCAGACAACAGTATTGTCTCCTACATAAGAAAAGCCAGGGAGATAACAGCAAATGGGGTTCAAAAAGTGATGATGTGATGGTGAAAGAAATACATTAGAGAGGAGTGGAGAGGTAGATAATTGGGTGAAGACTGGAAATGTGAGCAAGATATTAGGAATGTGGCCAGGGAATGGTTGGGGTAGGGTAGAAAATGATAAACATGAACAGTGTCTTTGACTTTCCCTTCATTCTCCCACTGTGGTCTTGCTCTCTCTGTCATCTCTCTCTTTTCTGTCAATGAGACCAGGGTTAGATTGAGTGGACGGGAGGACGAGCGCACATGCGTGAAGGAGTTTGCCTTCCCCCCTAGTTTTTCTCTTCCCCCTGGCAGTTGTCCCCCTCACTCTTCTTTTGCTACTTAGAGGCTACTCTCTAAGAACACATCTACAATGGTAAGAACTTATAGGTGCTATAATAATACGATATTATATGCCTTAGGTATGCCTGAAAATGTTTCAGAAAAACAAGACAAAAATTAGAATGGATAGGCTAAAATATGAAAAAACAAGAATGGCAGGTGCTTGATCACTTTTCCCTCTAATTTGATATTTAAAACTTATTTCAAATTTCCATCATAAGAAGGAATGTGTTTGTGTGTATACACTACCATATATATGACACTATGTATATATACACTATTATATACACTGTATTCTTTTTCATTATGAAAATTTACATTTAATATACATATACACACATTGCTTTTATTATGGAAATATAAAATATGTTAAAATGTCTTATATATATGAGGTAATATACATTATATATATATGTTTCCTACACAATAAAAGTATTCCATCATATTGTATGGAATATACAAGTAATATACAAGTACAATATATATCAAGTACATATTCACAGAAAGCAATAAAATATGGAGAGAAACATTTTCATTCAATTCTGGGGAGTATTAAATTCCCTTTTAACCTATTACAATAAGCGGAGGTAAAAATGATCAAATAGCAGCCCCAGAGAACACATGTTGCTATTGGTTCAGATTAACATTCTTCCCATGTAGTGTTCCTGTTCATTATCTCTGACCTATTCTTGCAGTCCTGGGAGCCAGGACATACAGGAGGTACTCTGCATTTGAGTTCTTTGCAGACATACAGGAGGTACTCTGCATTTGAGTTCTCCCTCTCTTGCTCTAGGTTACACAGTCCATGTCAGGAAAAATACCTTAAATACCTTAGGTAACCATGCAGATTATTCAGTTTGAATTCTCAAAGTCCTCCTCATACTAATTCTTTTCTTTTCATTCTTTTTTTTTTTTTTGAGACAGAATCTTGTTCTGTTTTCCTGGTAGCGCACAGTCTTGTCACCACAGCTCACTGAGACCTCAGATTCCTGGGATAAAGGATCCTCCTGCCACAGCCACCCTAGCTAGCCCTGTAGCTAGGACTACAGGCACACTCCACCAAGTCCTGCAAATTATTTTTTTTTTAAGTTTTGGTAGAGACAGGTTCTCATTCTTGGTTAGGCTGGTCTTAAACTACTGGCCTCAAGCAATTCTCTTGCCTCAGCCTCCCAAAGTGCTAGGCGCCCTTACTCTAATTTTTTCTAGTGCCACCACACCTAGGCACCCTTACTCTAATTTTTGAAGGCACTATTTATACTCCTATCCACAGATCATACTAGAGAACATCCTCCTCTAAGAAAATTAGGGAGACAAACAATAAAAGTTTAGTGGTCCCATATTTCAGTATAATACTTAGGGATCCTAATGATTAAATTTTTCTTTTTTTTGAGACAGAGCTTCAAGCTGTCCCCCTGGGTAGAGTGCTGTTGCATCACAGCTCAAAGCAACCTCCAACTCCTGGGCTCAAGCAAGTCTCGTGCCTCAGCCTCCCAAGTAGCTGGGACTAGAGGTGCCCGCCACAACACCCGGCTATTTTTTGGTTGCAGCCGTCATTGTTGTTTGGTGGGCCCAGGTTGGATTTGAACCCACAACCTTAAGTGTATGTGGCTGGCACCTTAGCCACTTGAGCAACAGGTATGGAGCCTAATTTTTCTTGACTATAAAAATGTTGTACATCAAAGGTGTAAATTATAATCATAGGGCTTATTGCTTATATAAAATAGGCTCAGAAAACATTGCAAGAGTATATGTATAAATTAAAGTTTACTCAGTGAATGCAGTACTGTAATAAATTCTGCATTAGGCATTCACTGAGTACTTGCTATGTACCAACCTCTGGATTGGATGGCCCTGTTTTCTAAAGCCTAGTTAAAAATAAATGCCAATGGAGAGATTTAACAAAGCATAGCGATAACAATCCAAATACATGTGCATGTATGCACCAGTGTACGCACACACACGTTACATTAACGCTCGAGACTTCTCATCCTCTCCCCCTAATACTACCAAACTTTGGTTGGGGGAAAATATTTAAAGACCATGAGGTCAATACTATTTGAGGATAATGAAGTATAATTGAATTACACAACTTTGGCCACAACAGATTACTATTGGCAAGAGTATCTTTACAACAAGTTTATCTTTTCTTTGAAATGCAGGTAGTTACATGTGGAAGGTGATATCTAAAATCACTAACATTAAAATAGAATGCAAAGGAACTCCAGCTGTAAATGTTCAACTTGTTACATTGAGGTGCACAAGCTTGATGATTCCCATAGATTCTTACCGTTTCGGGGTCATTTTCAAAGACTTCCCTGGCTTCTTCCTTATTGCACAGTTCTTCAATACATTCTCTTTCAAGATTACCCTGCTTGGTTTCTTCAAGCAGAGAATTTGCACGGCGTTTCCTAACCAGGACTTGTGAAGCATGTTGCTTTGACAAAACTAAAGAAAACAAATAAGTTTCTATGAGTAAGTCATTCATTTTCTCATCTAAAATATTTTATTAAACAAGAGGAGTTAAAAATGTTGTTCCACCCCTGAATTTCATGACATTTATAATCAGAACGAAGAAAAGAATGCAGACATATGAGCACTTTGGTTAACAAGTTGAAGAGCAGCTTTGGTTGCAGCTACTCTATCTCCAGATGTTCATAGGTCATTAACACTTGTATAATGACCTATAAAAATTATTCAAATTCATGCTTGAGGTCAAACACACCAGATCACATGCAATGTTTACTTTCTTATGAATGGGAAAAATATCACGTTAAAATGCCTATGTCAAAAGTCAGTCATACCTTGTTTAAAGCAAAATAAATTTTCTCAATTTTAATGGGAAGTTATTGTGATCTTTGTGGAGATAGGCCATGTGCGATTACAGTCAAATCAGCTATTTGAGAAGTCCTGGATAAGCTAAAACATTTGATTATTCATATAAACAGGAAAATACAAATCCATGAGAAATAGATGGCGTTATGCACAGCCTAAAATACAAAAGGCGGAGAGGAAAAAAATGGTAACTTTGATTTCATAAATACTGTTGAAGAATCCCACCACAACAAAAATAGAATTAACGAGTTCAATATCAAGCAACGAACTAGAGGAAAATACTTGCATTATATAGAACAGAAATATTAACATCCCGAATTTGTAAGCTAATTTTGCAAATTAAAAGGAGCCAATCAATAAATGTGTATGCAAAGTTAAACAATTGAAACAAAGTAAAAGAAAACTATAAATAAAATTGTTTAAACTATCACTACAGAGAAAAAAGCTAACAAATGTAAACATAGGATTTTCTTAAAATGAGAGTTTTACCTATCAGATTTGAAAAACTGTAGAAGGATGATAGTGAAAAGTACTGATGAGGATAAAGGGAAACAAAACTTGTTACACTCGTAGGGGGAATACACATACCAACTGGGAGGCACTGTGTGAAGGTAATTTGGTAAGACTGAAAGCACACATACTCCGCAACTTTGCCTCTAACTATGATCTACGCATATCCATAAGTGCTGGAAAAAACATGAAGAGAATGTTTATTGAAAAATTGTAAAGTCAAAAAATTAGAAACAACCTACTTGTCTATAAGGAGGGAATGGAGGCAGCTGGGCATGGTGGCTAATGCCTTTAATCCTAGCACCCTAGCAGGCCTTGAGGGAAGATTGCTTGAAGCCAGGAGTTAGAGACCAGCCTCTTTATGGAAACCCTGTCTCTAATAAGAACGGAAAAATTAGCCAGGTATTGTTTTGAGTACCTGCAGTCCCACCTTCTTAGGAGGCGGAGGCAGGAGGTTGAGGTTGCTGTGAGCTAGGCTGATGCCCACAGCACTGTCTCAAAAAAAAAAAAAAGAAAAGGCAGGGGAATGGAAAAGTTATTCTGTACTATGGAATAATATGTAGCTGCTATAAAGAAGGAAGATACTCTTGTACTGAAAATCTCTAAGATAGATATTAAGCCAAAATGCAAGTTGCAAAATGCCATACTCACAGCATAAACCTTTATGTATCGGCCAAAGTTGTACGTATGCAGTATCATGTGAAAAAACACTGAGAAAAGTATTTAGAAGGACACTCAAACTGCTCATAATTATATGTGAATAAAGAAAAAGGAAAGTGTAAAGTTTTGGATATATTACTTTGGCATATAAACAGAACATAGTTTTTTATTTTTGTTTTGTTTGTTTGTTTTTTGAGAGTCTTAATTTGTCACCCTTGGGGTAAAGTGTCATACCTCACAGCAACCTCAAACTCTTGGGCTAAAGCAATCCTTTTGCCTCAGCCTCCCCTGTAGCTGGGACTATAGGCACCTGCCACAATGCCAGCTATTTTTAGAAATGGAGTCTCACTCATGCTCAACTTGGCCTGAGCTCAAGCCATTCACCTACCTCAGCCTCCCAGAATGCTGGGATTACAGGCATGAGCCACCATGTCCAGCCCTGAACATAGTATTTTTTAATAAAAAATTTAAAAAGCACAAATAAAATCTACCAATAATGTTTTATCCTGATTTTAATTACAAATGATTATTTCACTAATAAGATAAAACGAGTGACATAAACATTAGAATTTCTTTTCGTTTTCCCTGTCTCTTATTATCTGGTGAATAATAAATAATAAATACTCAAAAGTTGGCCGTAGAAGGGAGAACAAAAAAAGTGAAAGGATTAACGAATCAACAGTCACCAAATTTATCAGCTGAGTTAAATGAAAATTTTTCAAGAGGGAAGTACATAATGTTACTTTATTTCTCTTACTTGCCAAAGTGGAAAGCTAAATAAATAAAATGTTTCCGTTATATTTATCACTGCTCTTTAAGATAAAGATTACATCGAGGCTATGTGTGTATAATACATGGTACTCTGTGAGCATGCAACCTTCCAAATGTATTACTGACTGAAAAATGACCTCTCACAATGTAAGAGGTTTACATGGGCAATTATCTCATATATTTAAGTTAGTTTTAAGCATCCTTTTCTGTAACAAATATAGTAGGGGAAAAAAGGGTCTTCTGAACTTTGAAGCAAAGATATCATTCTTTCTAGGGAAAAACTTTCATTGAACAAAAAATAAGTTGATTCAATAACAAAAAACAAGGTAAAATGAACTTAGGGGAAAACAAAACCCCATAAACATTTACATCTTGGCATTTCCTTCTTACAAAATATTAAGTTTTGGAATTAAGGGTGTAATATTTACATTTTAAAATATCTCTTTCTCTACTGAGGCCCCCCTAAAGGACACAGACCAAGTATAATAACCATACTATATTCATGTTGTGAAAAGAGAAGTTCTCAACCACCCAGGGAGAACCAAATTGTTGATTTAAAGTAATGAGCACCTAAGTTTATAAAAGAAAACATAATCTCCATTATTTAAAGAAAATGAAACTCAGGTAAAAGCATGCTATATATTTACTGTAACTACAAGGCCAGGTGTGGTGGCCTTGTCCTAATCTTAGCACTCTGGGGAGGCCAAAGCAGGAGGATTATTTGAGCCCAGGAGTTCAAGACCAGCCTGAGCAAGAGTGAGACCCCTGTCTCTACTAAAAATAGAAAATCAGGCACGCATTGTGGCACGTGCCTTTAGTCCCAGCTATTAGGCAGCCTGTGGCAGGAAGATAGCTTGAATCCAGGAATTTGAGGTTGCTGTAAGTTATACTAATGCCACAGCACTCTAGGCAACAAAGTGAGAATCAGTCACTCACTGTTAACAAAGTGAGAATGAGTCTCCAAAAAAACCAAAAAACCCCCCCACACCAAAAAAACCCAATAAAAGTAGATCACAGATCAGAGGTACCGCAATGCTCACGTCTGCAACCCATCCACTACTACTTCCTGCTTCTCAGAAAAAGGGAATTTTATGACTCCATTCATGAGGAAAATATCAAAAGAGAGAATTGTTAGACCCTTAACCTAAAGAATAATTACACTAACAAAAAAAAAGTAATTGTGTCTAAACATTTACACCAAATTTGAATGTTTATGCTTTATTTCACCCTGGTTCAGTCAAACGGGCTTTAAATTGACATACTTAACAATTTTTAAAGTGTATATTAATTACTTTGGTCTTCACACAATGAAATAAATTATAGGACAGAACTATCACCCCCCCCCCATTTTCCTATTCAAGAAAATAAAGCAGAGAGTGGTGACTTGATTTTCAAGGTCCCAGAACTGGCAAATTGTGCTAATGGAATTCAAATATATCCAGATCTTAGCCCAGCGCTCTTTTCTTCTGAGTATTTTGTTACACAAATATCCATGATGTACTTGATTCAATTTTTTTTTCCACTTATATATTTTTATTTGGAAATATTTCTAGAGGTACCATAAACTAAATTTTAGAGACATTGGACTTCAGCAGTTTAGACATCATTACTTTATTTTTAAGAGAGACACATGGATCTCTTACCTGAAGAAAGATTTCAGAACATCCGTGGAATGGACAGTTTCAACAGTGATTTATTTTAATGTACATCCTTTCCAAGAATGTCATAATGTCCATATGATAAATAATTCTTGTGGTCTAGAACTGCTTTGGTGCCTCCATATTATAGGAGAAGAATTTTATCTCCAACATTCTTGTTAACTGTCTGAATCTCTGCTCTCTTTCCTCTAGAGCCTGAATAAACAGCTACTACTGTTGCTTGCAATACAGTTCCTTGGGACTTTTCTGAAAGTAAAATGCCTGCCTTGGTTTCAGCTGTACTTTTTTCAACCAATACTCACCTAAAGAGAAAAAACTTCCTAAATGCTTGTTCTCCCCTATTTGCCACTGCCACAGCTCCCACTCCGCTCTTGCACTGCTGCTACAAGCTGAGTTAATTTTTTAAAAATTAAGCTATGTGGTTGTGCAGTGGCTACTATGTCTGATGTCTTAAATAAGACATTTACTGTTCTTTATAAAAAAAAAAAAAGACCCATCTATCTACAGAATGGCTTTCAACGGTATGTATCGCTTCTTGACAGAAAGATACAAACTTGATATCACAGATTCATATTAAGAACTACAGGACTGTAGGATGAGACAGGTACGTGGTTGGGAGAGCTTTAACCGGTTTGCTCAATGCCCTTCTGCCCAAACATCAGCCCTGCTGGCCTTTGGGAATGTCGAAAAAGTTCCATTATTTATCATAATAATAACCATGACATATAAGCACGTAAACTCTAGTGTGCATTATCTCGTTTAACCCTCCTTACAACCTTCCTCTAAGTAGATCACAATTTTCCAGTTTATACAGGAATAGGCCAAAACTCAGAGAAGTTGAGTTCATTTTACCAGGTTCCCACAACTGAGAACACAGTGCAGCCTGCCTCCAAAACTTGTTCTTCTTTGTATCCCCACGCTATCTTATCATGTATTCCCCTTCTTTGTATTGGGAAGTATCTCAAGGAAACCCTTGTTAAAACCCAACTATGTTGCTTAAGTGTTCAGATTCAG